ATCTAATCTCATCTCCTCCTATCTCAAATTTGTTCTTGGCAATCTCAAGAACTTTGTTCAATCGCCTCTCTCAACTGATAATTATTCAGTGTGGCGATCGCAAATCCTCAAGATAACTCGTGCAAACGGATTTGAGGAGTTTCTTGATCCTTCGGTTCCAACTCCGGCGAAATCCATCACGAAGTCGGACGGGATTGTTGTTCCGAACCCTGCATATGCAAAATGGATATTCACGGATCAGAATCTAGCCGCCGCGATCTGTGCTACGATCTCACCTTCGATTCTTCCCTATGTCCTTAATCTTGAATCGACAGCTTCCATCTGGACGACTCTAACAACACGGTTCTTATCAACAAATCGATCACGGGTTATTCAGTTGAAAAACGAATTGCACAATATATCTCTCAAGAACCTGTCAATGATTCAATACCTCACGGATATTAAAACCATCGTAGATCAAATCGCAGCGGGTGGATCGACGGTGGACACAGAAGACGTCATTCTATACATTCTCAATGGTCTACTGAGCTCATATCAATCGTTCAAGACATCGATACGCACCATGACGACTCCGCTGAATCTTGATCAACTGTATTCGTTGCTGATCAGTGAAGAGATACACATTGCAGCTGATGCAAATCGCAACGTCACTACAGACGATCCTCATCAAGCTCTGTTTGTGTCTCGAGGCCAAGGAAGACGATTTCGCGGTAGATCATCTCAGCCTCTCTCGACGAACAAAGACGTCTCAAACAAGATAGCAATCACTTGCCAAATCTGCTTGAAAAGAGGTCATGCCGCGCCGGATTGACTAGAATTGCTTCTTGCAATCCTGCTCTTAAAATAGATTGTAATTTCATTTAATTTCTTGTTCATGGTGTAATAATGCCAAACATCACAAACTTTCCTTTAATAAGACTGATCATAGATCTACTGCTCCGCTTGATCTGATTCACACTGATGTGTGGGGGCCGGCTCCCATGGTTTCCAATTCTGGATATATGTACTACGTAATTTTTGTAAACGATCATACCAGATTTACGTGGCTATTTCCCATGCGACATAAATCAGAAGTGGTTCATATTTTCACTGATTTTAAAACTAAAGTTGAAACTCTTACTTCTAGGAAAATCAAATGTCTACGAACTGACGGCGGTGGCGAATACATGAATACTTCCCTTGCCTCTCTTCTTCGCACAAATGGAATAACACATCAAAGCTCTTGTCCTCATACACCTGAGCAAAATGGTGTGGCGGAGAGGAAACATCGTCATATCATTGAAACAACTCGTACAATTCTTCACAAGGCGGCTATTCCTTGTACGTTTTGGCCAGATGCAGCAATCACTTCAGTCTACTTAATAAATCGTCTGCCGTCTGCGAACACTGCGAACAAATCCCCGTTTGAACTTTTTCATGGTATCAAGCCCAACTATGAACATTTACGGGCATTTGGTTGCGAGTGCTTCCCACTCATACCGGCTAAGTATCGTCACAAACTTGAACCGACAGCAGTAAGCTGTATTTTCATTGGGTATTCAGACATGTATAAGGGCTATAAATGTCTGAATCCTCAAAACAATCGGATCATCATGTCTAGACATGTAACATTTAATGAAATTTCTTTTCCTTTCTCCTTAACATCTAAAACTACGAATTCTATGCAGACTGTCAACATGCCGCCTGGACTCCTTACTCCTTATCCCACTCATACACCTCATCAGCAAACACACAATCATCCTATCAAGAGTACAGGAATTCAAAATCATGGAGAAAAATCAGCGCAATGTTCACCACAGCAGGCATTTCCGCAAACAATGGCACCGAATTCTGTTTCGGAGCTGGACGCTCAACGTTGCTCAATACATCCAATGGTTACCAGAATGCGCACGGGATCTCTAAAACCACGAAATCGTCTGAATTTATTACACAAGGAATTCGAGTCTGACACAATGCAGGATCCCACGTCATACTCAGAAGCCAGCAAACATGTGACCTGGAGGAATGCAATGGCATCGGAATTTTATGCTCTACAACAACAAGGCACATGGAGCTTGGTACCTAGACCACCCAATTCGTCTGTTCTCGGGTGCAAATGGACGTATAAAACAAAGACTCATGCGGATGGTTCTATTGCTAAATACAAAGCAAGACTTGTGGCACAAGAAAATCATCAAGAATATGGGCTGGACTATACAGAGACATTTAGCCCAGTTGCAAAACTTCCGACGATTCGTATTCTCCTGGCTATTGCATTAAATAACAACTGGAAAGTTCAACAATTAGATGTGGCAAATGCTTTTCTGCATGGAAATTTGGACGAAATAGTTTACATGAAACAGCCTCGTGGTTTTGAAGATATCACAAATCCCGATTACGTGTGTCGTCTACACAAGGCTATATACGGCCTCAAGCAGGCTCCGCGTCAGTGGTACAATGTTTTTACATCGACACTAGTGGACATGGGATTCAAGCACAGCTCGGCTGATCCGTCGCTCCTCATTTTTCGGAAACAGGACACTCAAATCTACATGCTAATATATGTGGACGATGTTCTTCTAACCGGAAATAACACTAGTATCATGGATCAAATTCTGCTCAAATTAAACAACAAATTTGCAATGAAGCATTTAGGGGAAGCTCATATGTTTCTCGGTATAACCATAGACAGATCTGATAACAAATTTTTTCTTTCGCAGGAAACCTACGCACGGTCCATTTTGAAGTCTGCGAAACTTACAAACTGCAATAACATTTCAAATCCAACGTGCACCAAAGTTCCTCTGGATCCACCAACGGATGCATTCCTTTCAGACGTGACCACATATCGTAAAATCACCGGAGCTTTACAATATTTAACACTTACGCGACCTGATATCGCGTATAGTGTAAACCAACTATCTCAATACATGCATCAACCGGATACCCAACACATTTATCTCCTCAAACGATTACTGAGATACATTCAAGGTACGTCTAACTATGGAATTCCGATTCTTAAATCTGATCTACATCTCATTTCTTTTTCAGATGCCGATTGGGCAGGCGATCCTATCTCGCGAAAATCAACCTCTGGATACTGCTCTTTTCTAGGCCGATCTCTTATCTCATGGACGGTCAAGAAATAACATACGGTGGCTAGATCGTCAACGGAATCAGAATACCGAGCACTGGCGGCACTTGCGGCGGACGTAATATGGCTTCGAAGGCTTCTCTTGGAGTTCGGAGAAACATATGGGTTGTCCGATGTTTTGATCAGGCATGAATCTCAAGGCACATTTAAATTAGAAACTTCTAAAATTAAATTTGGGACCATTCAAACTCTGATTCTAGCAAACATAGTCAAATTGAATGTCTTGGCAAGAAGAACCCAACAATACCAAAACCGATCCAATCCGGATGGGCTCAAATCAAAGACTTGAAACATATTTGAAAATTTTAGAGCATTTATTGGATGATTAAATGATATCTAAATATAGCTTACTTATAATCAAATCGAGTGACTTGATGAAATGAATTCAAAAAAGCCAAAGATTACTTAATTTTGACATCATTAAGACACTTAAATGTTGAATGAACACTCTGTGATTGAAGGAATCAATATGGGTTGTCCGATGGAGCACTTTAAATTTCCCCTTGATCTTCCCTATATTTACGGAGCATGCCACTCTAACAAAATTATTAATTGACCACTTCCCAAATGAAAGTGGGCTTGGATTTTTGGATGATTCAACCCTGGGCTAGAGATTCAATATAGCTTTGAAGCTTTAAGCATTATGGAGCTCCACCCTGACACCATTGTTGGCAAACACTCGCCACCTACAGGTCGCTGCTATTGGACCTATGTTAGACCATCATTGTCGGACCTCCGTCCGAAAGCCATCATCGGGCCTTCATCCGACCTCCATTACCCACCGACTATGATCTCTCTAATCTCCATCGCCCGCTGAGTATGATCCCTTCGACCTCCGTCGCCTGATGACTGCATGAGGTTTCTTCGACCTTCATTGCATGCTGATTATAATCCCTCGGACCACCATCGCTAGTAAACTACAGTCTCTCTGACCACCATCGCCAACCAACTATGATGCCTCTGATCACCGTTGCTTGCCAACTATAATCTCTCTACCTCAGTCACCTAACAATGGTCCCCTTAGCCTTAGTCACCCTACTACGATCCGTCCGACTACTGTCGCTCGCCAACTATGGTCTCTCTAACTCAATAGCCTCATAATTATCCCCTCTACCTCAGTCGCCTGACCGTTGTCCCTTCTACCTCAATCGTTTAACTACTATTCTATTGATTAAACGAGCAAGCCAACATTCTTTTGAGAAAAACTCTCATATAACTAGATTTTTTCAACTCCCACTATGTAATGTGCTATCTAGGATGTATACTTGCTACATTGAGTCAATATCTTCCCTGGAAAAAAGGGCATTATTTGTGATCGACTATAAACATTAGTAGAATTAATCATTTTACTAGGCCATCACCCATGTGATTTTTTTCCTTTTCAGTATTTTTTACGTTAAAAACTTGATATCTCTTATGACTTTTGCTCTCCCTCTATCTTATCTATGTGTGTATTGAATCATCATCACACTTATAACATATTTTTTAATCAAATTATAATTAAAATATTTAAATTCATAACAAATTTTAATTCCAATAATTTTAACGTAACACATATAAATAATTAATTAACATTTTATCTTTTAATTGAACAAAATTATATTAAAAATGTTCTAATTAAAATTTTTTAATATGATAGATGTCAAAATTTTTAGATTTATTTTAAATTTCAATACTTTTTTCATCTTTTATATGGTTGCGTAATTTTTTATAAGGGATTGGACCGACTGGCTGCTCCGTCACCGTCCAAATAAGCGTCACCGGCGTGTGGGTCCACTGTGCCGGGCGACCAACAACACGTGCTGACATCACTTCCATCGTCATTTGACGTTATCCCTCTCCGTTATTTATTCTCTTCCAGCATCTCCCTCCCTTCTTCCCACTGCTCCTCAATTCTAAAAATCTCTCCTTTTTCTCTTCCATCCTTCTCAGACATGCAAAAGACACTTCCCTACACCCAGGAAAATCCTTGGGCCCCACCGCCCTCACCCGCCGCCGGCGCCACGGGGTCTCCGGTGACTCCAGCCGCCGACGTCAAAGCTGGCATGCTATCCAAAGCAGTAGCGGAGAATCCGGTGGTGGTGTTGGGTTTGCGAGGATGCTGCATGGTACACGTGGTGAGGCGACTGTTGCAAGGGCAAGGGGTGAACCCCACGGTCTGTGAGGTCGGCGATGACGCCGAGGCTGCTGCACTCGCCGGAGAAATAGCCGGAGACGGCGGAAAAGAAGGTGGGGCCCAGCAGGAGATTCAGCTTCCGGCGGTTTTTATTGGCGGGAGCCTCGTGGGCGGGTTGGACCGGCTCATGGCGGTCCATATCTCCGGCGAGCTCGTGCCCATCTTAAGGGATGCCGGTGCCCTATGGCTCTGATTGGTCCGGCGGGTCCAACTCACCGGAATTTATTTTTTTGGTGGTTTTAAATGGTGGGCCAGTGGAGGTGGATATTTTTAAATTTTCGTGTTTAGACGTATTTGGTTTGAAAATTGTGAATGTGAATCGGGAAATACACGCAATTTTTGTTTGGTGTGGACGACCCTCATTTTTCTTTATTAAATTTCAATTTATTTGCTCGCAAATTATTTGTAGTAATGGTATATTTAAAAAAAATATATAAAAAATTATTTTAAACTTACCGATAAAATATTTCTCTTTTACTTGAAAGGAGTTTTTGTGGTACATCTTATAAAATGCTAATGCTTATGTGGCACGAAAATTTTTGTATTTTGATATATTTGAATTTTTTTATTATTTACTTATAAATATGTGCATATACTATTCATCTTTCTTGCTTTAACCTCAACAGTTAAATTGATATCAAGTCTTGGCCATAAATATGCATCAAGATTGAATAATAAAAAAGGAAGAGATAGATTAATTGACTCCAATAGATTTTCTTTAATTGAATTGATCTATAAAGAACCCAATTTATCACATTATATATATATATATATATGGAGAATCTTAGAAAGAGTTTGAAAAAATCAAAGAGAAGAGTTTTACTAATAAATATAAGATTGTTTATAGATTTTGTGTGCCTTGGTGCACAATTTGTGACCCACTACTCATAATAATGGGCCAAGGCTAACATTATAGAGTTTGCTACATAAGGAATTGCAAAGAAAGTACATGATATTGAGTTGGCATCCACCCTTTATTGTGCATCCACCCCAAATGATACTTTTGTAAGCTTATCTACGAAACATTGTCACGACTTTTCATTCAACTAAATGATAAGGTTCAATGGACGAATAATAGAGTACAAGCGACAAATCAGACTCATCACAATGATCCGAATACTTTACTAGATCATTCAATTGGTAGGAGTGATGGGTCATGTGAATAAAGGGCAATGATGTAACCAACGCGTGCTAATGCATTACTCAGAATTTTTTTGGGTAATGCATTATAACAAATTTATCGTTAAAGACCAACAACTATAAGATATATCCCTATCACAATTAAATTTTCTAAAGATTGCTCAGGACTATTGGCCAAGACTATATACTTATTGAAAATGTCAATGTAGCGCATGTGCAACCCATAACATCTAAATATATCACAGACCTTTTATTGACTCAAACTTACACAGTTAAAGCGGTCATAGTCCCTCTTAAATAAAGCTTTTATATACAAAAATATATAAATCCATTTAAACATTTTTCACTTACCATCACCTCACTCAGCTGTCGGAGAAGGAGAAGAGAAGTTAGAGAAGAGGAGAGAGAAAGAAGAGATAGTTTTAGAGGCTGTAGAGTTAGAATCTTCTGTTTGGCCAGTTAAGAAAAATGTCGAGCACGAGGTAAGCTCCCAATACGCTATTCCTGATTTCAATTTTGATGAATGTATGAAAAGATATGGAATAACATATGATTTAAATCATATTATTTACATGAGTTTTAAAAACTTTTCACCGTATAATTTCTGATATATTATAGAATATTCTATTCTAGTCATTTTAACTATAATAAATCAAACTTTCATTGGTTGATCTTACAATATGTTGAATAAGGTATTTTTGGTATTATCTTTTGAAGAAAGTTTTTATTGGAGGAGATTTAAATGAATATGTTGGTAGAGATGTATAAGATTTTAAAAGTATTCATGATGGCTATGGATTTGGAGCGACTAATGAAGGTGATAATACAATTATATTTTGCACTAGCTTATGATTTTGTAATTGCTAATACTTTATTTAAAAAAAAAAAAAGAGATGAGTATCTCATCACTTATAAGAATGAATATAGTAAAATTCAGATTGATTAATTATTTTTAAGAAAAATAAATCATTTAGATTGCAAAGATTATAAAGTTATTTTGAGAGAAAATTTATGTACCCAACTTTACTTATTAATTTTGGACTTTAATATAAATGGGCATATTATAAAAAATATAGTAAAACATTATTCTAAGATTAGATAGGGGCATTTAAAAAATATAAATAAAAATATTTTTAAGAGTAAGATTAGATCTTAAGATTTCTTCTATACATGAGAAAATGAATATTATGCGGAAAAAATATTTAATAATATTAAGATTATTGCAAAAGATATGCTTGGAGTGTCAAAAGAAAATATTTTTAATAATAAAAATAGTTTGTGGTGGAATCAAAATGTGCAAGAAAAGATAAAAAATAAGAAGTTTTGTTATAATAATTGATTTAGATATAAAAACTCTAAAAATAGATAAATATATAAATAGGCTCGTAAGGTGTCTAAGAAAGCAATCTGCAATGCAAAGATTTTGCTTTTAATGATTTATATAATAGATTAGATTATAAAGAGGTCAAAAAATATATGTATAAGTTAGTCAAATAAAAGATATGAGTAGTAAGAATTTAGATCAAGTGAAGTGCATTAAGGATGAAGTTTTAAAAGTATTTTTTTAGAAGAGAATATTCAACAAAGATGGATGAGATTTTTTGCTAAGCTTTTCAATGAGGATTGTGAGAATATGATTGACTTTAGTGACTTTAGTACTCTAAATGAAAATAACTTTTTTTATAAAAAATTTTATCGGCATATTAGTAAAGCTGAAGTTAAAAAGGCTTTAAAGAAAATAAAATGCAGAAAATTGTTGCACATGATGATATTCCAATAAAGGTGTGAAAATGCTTAGGAGATGAAGGAATTTATTGGCTTAATAAACTTTTTAATATTATTTTGAAGGTTGAAAAGAGGTCAGATGAGTGGAGAATAAGTGTGTTGATTCTTATTTTTAAGAAAAAAGGTGGTGCACAAGATTGTGCGAATTATAGAGGAATTAAGTTGATGTGTCATACTTTAAAACTTTGGGAGAGAGTTATGGAAAATATGTTACAACATGATACTAATGTTTCTCAAAAGTGATTTGGATTCATGCTAGGCAGATCTACTATAAAAGCTATTCATTTATTGAGAGGGTTGATGGAGAAGTTTTGAGAGAATAAGGAGGATCTACATATGATATTTATTGATTTCTAGAAAGTATATGATAAAGTTCCAAGAGAAGTGCTATGAAGAATTCTAGAAAAGAAATTGTTAATAATATTTATATTCAAATCATTAGGGATATGTATGCAGGAGTTGTTACTTGTGTTCAAACACAAGGTGGTTTGACCATGTATTTTCTTATTTTAGTTGGATTACATCAAGGTTCATCCTTAAGTACTTATCTTTTTATTTTAGTCATGGATGTTCTCACCAGACATTTGCTAGAGGATGTACCCTGGTGTATGCTTTTTTGCTGATGATATTCTTCTTGTTGATAAGATTAGAGAGGGAGTTGAAGGTAAACTCGAATTATGGAGGTCAATCTTAAAGTCTAAAGGTTTTCATTTGAGTAGATCTAAAATCAAATACATTGAGTGTAATTTTAGTAGTAATATATCTAGTGGGGGTTTTTGACTTTGAGCAATCAAGCAGTCATTAATAAGTGTACTCATTTTAAATATCTTGGGTCTATTGTTCAATATTATGGTGAAATAAATAGGGAAATTATTAGCATAATTCAAGTTGGATGGTTGAAGTAGAGGAATGCTTCGGGTTTGTTGTGTGGTAGAAGAGTACCACTCAAACTTAAGGGGAAATTTTATAAGATGGTGGTGAAACCTGCAATACTTTATATATGGTACAGAATGTTGGTCATTAAAAGAGAAGCATAATATAAAGTTAAGTGTTGTTGAGATAACGATGCTAAGGTGGATTAATGGATTTACTCTTAGAGACATGATATGAAACAAGCATATTCATGAAAAGGTTGGAGTAGCTCTAGTAACATATAAGATTAGAGAGAGTCACCTTAGATGATTTGGTCTTGTAAAACGGTGGCCTTTCCTCGATGGCCCTATTAGGAGAGTAGATGTATTAGATTTGGCCTATGTTAAGAAAGGTATAAGTATACCTAAAAAGACTTGGTTAGAAAATATTAGAAATGACATTTCTTTATTAGATTTAAATGATAATTTGACTCTTAACAAGAAACAATGGAGAAAAGAGATTCATTTAGCCGACCCCACGTAGTGGGATAAAGGCTTTATGTTGTTGGTGTTGTTGTGATATTTCTGGTATTGATTATAGTTTATTAAAAGTATTAAAGTGATGCTTTAAAGTTTCCTTATAAATGGTTTTTTTAAATGATAAATGTGAAGTGTGTGCAAATTATATTTGTGACAAGTTAAGCATGTTCATGTTTATGTTAAATGTTACAATTACAGGTCAAATACGTAAAGTTTTACATGCATATCTTGTCATGACGGAAGTTTTGATGTGAGAGATATTACAATGAACTATAACTAATGTTACAAGTGCATTCTTTGTTCTATTTTATTTTGATGTGATATATATATATATATATATATATTCTGGCTCCATCTACCTTGTGCGGGTGTGAGAGTATTAATGGAGCTATAAGTGAAAGTGGAGTTATAAGAGAAATTAAGCATGTGCTTACTCCATTTGTCTTGTGCATGTGGATTGACCAATGGAGAAAGCACAAGTGGAGTTAATAATAAACATCAGGACATATGTATATCATAATTCATATGTTATATATTATATTAAATGAAATAAGTTAAGCGGAAGTAATGTTTAGTTATAAGTATCCACTGATAGTCATGTGAAGATAAAAGTGAAAGTACATGTTATTATTTATAATGTTCAAGTTCAAATGACAAGTTTTGAAATATTATTTCTGATGCATGTTCAAGTTCAAGTTATTTCAATGTCATTCTTATGTTAATGTTAAACATTAAGTATATTTAACCCAATGTTAATATTTTATAACTATTAATGCTATTTTCTATTATATTTATAAAAGTAATTCGAAACCTTTATTAATAAAATTACAAAAAAAGACATTGATCCCTATCATAGAATTTTAGTATTTGCCTACTGAGGATCTTGTGGCTCACTCTGTGAATTATTGCTATTTCGGAGAAAAGAAAATAGCCAGTTGAGTAGGAGTTAGTTTGATTGAAGTCTGTCAAAAGATAGTAACTTGAGATGTATTTTTGATAGATCAGTTAATCTTATGTTTTAATGTGCAAAATAATTTGTATTGGATTATTAGTATATAATTTTTATGTAATAAAATTTGGATG